TTTAAAACATTTGTCTCAGGATTAGTAAACTACGCTTCAGGACAATAACTTCACTGAAGTTTAGAAAAAGAACTCTTAACACATTCAAGATGCACAGTAATGACTAAAATGTTGCTTTTTTGTATGACTGCAGTTCAACTTTTTTTGTCCCTCGCTGTATCATGGTTCACATTTTTAAATTTCCAATAGTTTCATTATTTTCTTGATTAAAAATAACCTGAACGTAGGAGTAAACGACATCTGTTTTTTACCATATTTCACAACCTCCTAAAGTAGACCTACATAATATAACAACTGTCACATAAAAGGCGCCGTTTATGCAAATGTTGTGGAACGGCAATTAATTGTGGTATATTGTTAGGAAGAAGAGCAAATTGATTGGCCAGAAATGACAATGTACTAACACAATCACAACACAGAGAGACGGTGTTTCTTTTACTGCCTTCTGCAGCGCAGATTTAATGGGTTTAAAGGAAACACAAAGTTCTGGACCGGTGGCTGGTAAGTTGGGTGTGGTGTGTCTTTGTACAGACTAACCAGAGCCCATTATGTTTCATTGAATTATTGTTTAAGTACAGACAATTAGCACGGGTGTGTGAATGGAACAGAGAGACGTTAAGACAATGTGACCGTAAGACGTTCACCCTTTCTACCATGGATATTTATATAAATAAATATGTCAAAGAAATATTTTAAAATTGATGGTAGAAAGAATTAAAAGCTCTTTTTCTGACATCTTTTTAGTGTGAAGCAGACAAGTCCAGCAAGGAGAGGACACGCAGGGACAGAGAGGACGGGCAAGGAGGACAAAGTGAATAGATGGAGTAAAAGGACAGACACAGATCCCGAACAACAAGTTCATCATCAAGATCGGACAAATCAAGTCCTTCACTCTTCACTTGATTCCTGAGATGGAGAGAGAACTGGAGGAAAAAACACAAAAGAAACGAAAAGGAAAAGAAAGAAAAGCCAAGTTGATGCCATTCTGAGTCGTTTTTTACATTCGTATAATTTTAATATATTAGTATTAATATAAAGGTTCAGAAGGCAATGTTTAAAGAACAGGAGAAGTTGTCAAACTCTACTTATTAAAGAATTGACTAGAAATGTTTGTGTTTTCTCTTCTCTACAGATCTGTAATGGAGAATATTTTCATATGGAAACAAACGTAAACATTAAACCTGGATCGACCAAAGGTAAATGTTATAAACACACGAGAAATTACATTTAAAATAAAACACACCTCAGTGGTGTTTGTTTCTGATTCTTTAGTCTTTCCAGTTCCTTTTTAATGTAAATCTTTTTTTCATAGACCAACAAAAAAATCAAATAAAAAAAAATCAAATGCTATAATATCGTGCATACATCGCTAATACTACAAATACTGCCAGTACATAGAGACTATACAAACGGTGGTCCAAATATAACTACACATAGTCTGTGGGGGTGACACCTGTGGGGGTGACACCTGTGGGGGTGATCCCTGTGTGGGTGACACCTGTGGGGGTGACACCTGTGGGGGTGACACTTTCCTCCTTACTGACCTCAAAAACATGGAATGCTGCAACGCCGGCGTCAGAGATGTCGGAGTTTGGGCTTGAAGGAAGGTAATTAACGTGTCAGTCAGTGGTTTGAAGCTGCAAATGACTTAATTGGTCAGTAGATAAATAATGACTTTGTTTATACGGCAACAGAAGTGCCCTTTACGATGTCACCTTAATTGTTTTTGGTTTTAATTGTCTGTTGTCTGAAGGAAAATCATTTTTGTAATGTTTTTCTTTCCTGCTGTCGTTAGTTAAAACTATTTATTTGTTTTGTTTTGGGGTTTTTTAAAGGATTTTTCAAGTTCAGAGGTTTGGTTTCTGAATTTTGGGCAAAGTTCAACCTTTTTTTTCCGGCATGAATTAATCTTGTAAAAATGTGATCTGCCAGAGTTCTGGCTGGAGTCCCAGTCCCAGGACACATCACAATAACAATACAAATAACATAATTTATATTATACCATATTAATAAAATATATATCTTAGATATATATTATATAAGGTAAAGTTAAAGGACAGTTACAGCACATAGTTTGATAAATTACATTTTTTAAAGAAACAACAATCAGAAAAATTAGAATTCATACTGAAACTATTGTTTTTAAATCTAAACAGCAGATTCTGAAACCTGAAAGACGACCGAGTGTTTGTGCAGCGTAATCGTGAGATCCCGACGATCCTGTTTTGACATGACAACATTAATATGAAGAAAGTTCTGGAACATGAAACTGGTCGAAGGAGTTTGTTAGAAAAACCCAAACATGGTGGAACTCCAGGGTTCGTGTGGTTGAAGTCACTGATGCACCGATGCCTTGATCGCTGATATCTAACTGCTAATGATGCAAATGTTAATTAAACAAGGAGCTGGCTTGATGTCAAAATGAAAAATAAGACTTGTGAGAAACCCAGTGCTGTCAAAACGGGAATATGGTCGTCTCCGACCGTCGACAGCTCTGACAACAGAGACGACAAATAACCTCAATTATTCTTTCATCTCTTTTTGTTCTTCCTTTGGCTCTAACTCCAACAATTAATGAAAACCAGTGACTAATGAGAGCAATGATGGTAATGATGAAATAATAATGAACGCTTTTTTAAACATTGTTGTCAAACGTTAATTCAAAGATTCAAAAATCAAAAATCTGTATTTGTCACATAAAATCCACAATAGGTGACAACAGCAAATGTGCAAAAAGCGAAAGTATAAATAAAATAAAATAAAATAAAATAAAATAAAATAAAAGGAAAATTGGAAGTCTTAATAATACCAGTAAAAAACAAACCCTAAACCAGTAGACAATCTCATATATATAGAAGAAAATATATACCAAACATATACCATCACCAGTCAGTCATATATGTGTGTATTTATATTTCAGGTCTTTAATGGAACTACACCATCCTACTGCATGTGACTGTGAGCCTTTATTACAGTACTTACAGCAGGGTCCGCTCAACCCAATTTGGTGCCCTAGACGAGATTGTCATCCAGCAGATGGCACTCTAGGCGACAGCCTATATCGCCTCTGCCCAGAGTCATCGCCGACTGACAGCTACCATAAAACCACCACAGCATTGATGAAACTTTTTGTTTTAAATTCTACATATTCCACTCATGGACACTGACACCTTTCAGTGAAACGAGGCTAAAGAAACGTCTTCTCATATTTTCACCTTTGAAAATACTAATCTTACACTGTGTATCTAGAAGGTGTGTATAGTAGTAAAGGTAGGAACAGTTCTTCACGGTTCAACACTGTTACAGTTCAGTTCTGTCCATTTGGACGTTTTAACCTTTTTGATTTCAGTGACATTTTTTAGTTTCTGTTGCAGTTTAATTGAACAGTTAATAATCACATAAATTTGAATATTTCATACAAAATTTCATACAAAAAATTCTCAGAGAACACAGCCGCTACACAAACAAAACAACAACAACAACACCATAACATTCTTGCAGCTTGACATCCTCATGTGGTGTCATTCTTGGGGGGGGCGGGGTCACATGTCAGTACTGCATCTCACTTAATAATGATTGCGACTATACGTCAGAGTTCAGTTTAGGAGGTTTTCGTGATAGGCTAGGTTACAATTACCCTTTGATCTTTATTATAATTCCTAGCGCTGCAGGGCTCGACTAACCTGCTGCACAGCTTCTCACTGATACTGATGAACCTCGTGCACGGGTCTGGCCTTTATGATGTTCTACTACAAAGACTGAAATCAGTTATTCACTTAGGGTCGCCGATCACTCTCACTTTACTGCGACACTGGACAGAACCTCCATTTTAGTGTCTGGTCCGTGTGACGGTTAAATGTCCAAGGTCATGGACCAGATGTAGAACAAGGTACAAGGTGTGGACCGAGTTATGTAACTGGTCACGTGGGTAAACACTTCACGACTGAGACTAAGTTCTGCTGCGTAATCCTGACCCAGGGGTGAATTTCGACGTTTCCTGATGCGGCGTATTTGAAGGGGTGACACATCAACGATTAAAGTAATCAGATCCGGAGAAGTTTGGAGGATTGAATTCTGCCACTGATCCAGATTACATGTGCCCCAGTTACAGATGCTATATCAGGTACGGAAAGGAGGTCGGCTTTGGAATTCCCGGAACTCACACCCAACAAACTGGATCTCTCCTACTTCCTCCATCACCGCGGCGTCTTTTGAACCTATATTTGTGATCAGTTGAATCAACAAAGACTGGTATAGACCACCCGCCGGCTTCGTTGGAAGAAAACCACCAAAGACCAGATGAAGGGTCAATGGCCTTTCACTGTCAGGTGAAAGGTTCATATATTTCAGCTATTTATATAGCTGTACTCACAACATCCTCATAATTATACTTCTGTGTACCTCTGCTTACGTATACATACCTCAGAGATAATGTGGTATACTGAGAGTACATGCAAGTGTGTCAGTCTGCTGTGACTCATGTTTGTGTTTCACCTATTTGTGTGTTTTTCCACTGTTGTTCTGGTGCTGCACTGCTGCTGGAGACTGACATCCATGACATCCATCCATCTATCCATCCATCTATCCATCCTCATACCCTCCACAAGCCCTCCTCCCTCCCTCCATCAACCATCCACCCATCTATCACAACACACACACACACACACAGTGGCCTAAGGAAAGTTAACATTAACTGGTAAAATGATCTCTTGTTCTTTATAAAAGCTAAAGTTTAAGGACGTGTTTTTCTTTGACAAATCTGGAGACTGTGGCAGACATCACCTGATGATCCCCGATCTGATGATTTGTGTAACTGGTGTATGGTTCATACCTGAGTCCACAACTACATTAATGTTAATGTTCATTCAAACTAAATGAAACCATGAAGGTGTCGTTGAAGGACACCAGTGAATCGAGGTCACCGCACTTATATCCACGTTATGAAACAACTGATATGAAGGAGTGGCAGATTTTAGCGCCATGCTTGTGCTTGCTCTTTGCTGACGTCTTGCGGCCGAGTCCCGTCACGACAGCGTGCCCCCTGTAAACAACACGACGTCACTTCCGCTCTAATATTGACAGAGGCACAACAAGAGAAGCAGAAGAGAAAAACGTCCGAGCATCGGACACAGCGACGGGATGAAGGTAGGACAGACGGAGAGCGGCTGTAGTTTCGTTCTCCACCTGTGACAACAACTGCCGCGTCTGTCATTTTACAGCGTCTCGATGACACACACACACACACACATCACCGCATCTAACGTCTTTGTGTGTCCGTGTGTTTGGGGGAGGGTCTTCATCGGGATGTGACAACAAATATTCGTACAACACGATCCGAAATCAACCCGTAAATAAATCCTGAGGCTGAAAGAACATTTTGTACGATTGAAAACCCACGTCCGGCTGAGTCACCGTAGAAATAACGCTGTTATCGATCAAATCCAAAAGGTTTTTTTTTTTTTTTGAGTTTGTCTACCGTGGCCTGATTTAAAAACACTGTCATCAAACATGGCATCATCGACATAACGTGACGTACGAAAATGAAATGTGACATTTGTTGTTCTTTCAGTGCGTGTGCAACAATAAGACTGAGCAACAATAAAATAATTTCATATTTATTTAATTCTGGCAAAATAATCCCTAATCAAACTTTCTTTTTTTTACCATCATGTTGAACTTTTCCTCAAAAAATAAAGTAAATTATTCAAATATGGATAAAGAAATGAACAAAAGTAAAAAAACAAAAAAAACAAAATAGTAATTCAAAAATAAAACACGATATAAAAATGTGAAACGACGTTCCTCCTCTTCATGCTGTACGTAAGAGATATAACGACCTCTTGGATTAGATTACTGGGGGAGTAAAGAAGATATCGTATTGATATCGATATCGGCGGATACTCCAAGTTTGAGTATCGATATTGGACATGACAAATGTTCAATCGAGCCATCGTCAGTCGCACAAACAAACGCTGGTAACAGTCAGATAATGTTCATCGAACCTGACACATGTCGTCTCCAGGTCCTGACTCTCCAGCAGGGGGCGGGGGAGGGGGAGGAGAGCGGCTGGTCGCCTGTGGACACCAATCAACCAAGAGAGCCTCGAGGACAGAGAACAGGAGGACTGTCCTGAGGAAGAACACGTGGATGGTGAGTCGTCACGTTGTCCTGTGTCACATGACCTCATTCAGTAACTAGAGCAGCTGATGGTTTCAACTAGGGATGTCCCAACGTAACGTTTGGTTGACTCTGTCCAAATACTTAATTTCTGCCCCCCCGGCCCGCTCCCATTCTCAATATCCTCAATATTGGTGGAAAAAAACGATAACGATTCTTACAGGTGTTACATCGTTATGCTAATATCGGACAATATTTTCGGACATCCCTAGTTTTAGGATTTTCACTAAAATGGACAATGACAATGACGTGTAGTTGGGAAGTCACTCTCTTATCGCTAACGTCTCCCCTGGTGGTGCTCTGCAGAGACGGACAAAGACCATCCCAGGCCAGAAGGTGGCGTCATGTGGCGAATGGGTGGCGGCCTGTTTAGCATGACACGAAACGTTGTCGGTGCAACGCTCGGGGGTGTCGCATGGGTAGGAACCAAAAGTTTTGAGCTGACCAAGACAGCTGTGACCAGTGTCCCAACAGCTGGCGTCGGACTGGTCAAAGGCAGCGTCTCCATGGTAACAGGAGGCGTCGGCGCAGTGGGATCTGCCGTGGCAAGTAAAGTAACGCCGAGAAAAAAGGACAAAGCGGACTGAAGTGTGGGTGAAGGTCATGTGTGAATGTTGGCGTGTGCAGAGGTGGAATGGAGCGAGAGGTGAACCGGTACCGATTTGTTTTTTGTGGCGATGTGATGCTAAATGGGACTCGTCCAGACTGATCTTTGTGGATTCTCTTCAGTTGACAGCGTATACAACAGTGATTCTGATAAGTGGTCATGAAAACATTTCCCACAAACATTAGACTAACTTACTTGTCCAAATATTATTCGTAAAACTAATAGCATGTTTAGCATTAGCCCTCAGCAGGCTGCTAACGTAGCATGACACAACTTGGAACAGCTCAGGTAACGCTATGTTTTCTGTTAGCCTCTTCAAACTGGGCATGCTCAGCTCACTGTGGCTCCCCCCACCTTTAACTCCAGTTAGTGCAGCTAACGAGCTTCCCTGGTCTACTGCAAAGTACTTCAAGGCTAAAGACGTGTTAGCGTCATCCCCTGTTCTCCGACATGGAACACAAGCACGAAACGATTGGCCACAAAAATCAGACCATGTCCAATCACTGTCTGATCGTTTGGTGCGTCTCCAGTTTAAATATAGTTTGTGTTGTTTACGTCGTTTAACTTCTAATCTTCATCTGTGAGAGCTGTGGACAGAAACCAACAACAACTGTCCACGGTCACGTCCACAGTCACGTCCACAGTCAGTAGTCTTCACTTAGTGCTGCACGTATGTAGCGGTGAACGAGGGGGAGGAGTCAAACTGACCTGCCTGCTGCACATCAACGATATTATCATTTTCATGTGAGCTTTTACTTCACATCCTACATTTCAAAACGTCACAGCTCCTCCATGTTGTATTTCTCAAAACTGTCCACTAGTTCCTGTGACATTTCCAGACTGACAGAAGTAGAAGTAGTAGTTCTGGACCCGTGCTCGTGCCCGTAGTGCTGGGTCGCTCTGCTCAACAAGTCACATTCCTCCTGAGTCCACAAACACAACCGCAAACGTTTGAGACTTTTCACAGAACTGGTTCAGTCAGTTAATAATGCCTCTGTGCCAGAGCACAGCTGATAAACAGTTCTGGTTCTTGGTTAAAAAATAAAGACAAATTCAAATACAAAGTTAGCATCGTAACACATGACGGCTCCGTGTTAATCAAAGTGTTTTAGAAATTTAGACATGTTGCTTGGATGCACAAGTCACCAGTATGAGGCGCTGTAGCTCAGGTTTTCACTTCGACTTTCTTGGAAACCTTTGTGCTGTTATTATTTTCTGGCTCCTCCTCAGGAGTACAGAACGTTTGTTCTTGGCCAAATGTGTGTTCACGTGTGAATGAGTTGACAAAGAAAAAAAAAAAAAAAATTGAACTACTGCTGAATGAACAAGGCACAAGGAGAAAACAGGAAACAAACTTCACCGAGATGTTTAGGAAATTAAAACTGTTAACTCACCAACAGATTGTCAATGGGGGGGGTTGGGGGGGGGGGGGCTCAGGGCACAGGAATCAGGTTCCAAGATCAGAGAAGAAAGGAAACAAACAAAACGAGAACGAGCAATTAAGAGTGGAGACCCAGACCAGATCGGGTCAGACCCGGTTTGGTCAGACCCGGCTGGGCAGGAACAGAGAGGGTTAGGGTCAGCAGTGAGCCACAGAAGTACAGAGCGAGGGCGAGAGGTCAGACACCCAGGTGACCAGGTGAGAGCAGTGAGACTGACGACCAGAGAAGCTCAGCTGAGGGTGATGTCACTGATTGTCCTGAGTGTCCATGACTCACCTTCTTCTGGAGAGAACTGGGGTTTTTTTTCACCAGTTCTGGTTCTTTATTTCACCCCTTGAATTTCCCGCCCGTGCTCTGAGACTCATGTTACTATGAACCAAACTGTGCATCAGTGCAGGGTTTTTATAACCAGGTGTAGAAGAGGGAACGTTACGACGTGAACGTACTTGATGTGAATCTCTGTGATTTCATTGTTGCTGTGAATCTTTATTTTGATAAAAAGCGGAGAACTCCTCCGGCTGCTGCATGTTCCATGACAGTGTTTGACACATATGTAAATGAAAAAGGCTGTTAATGTCATTTATTTATACCTTCACACCCCCCACCTCCCCTCCCCCCCTCCGTCCCTCCTGTGTTGGATTCCTTTCAGATGGAGCAAATTTATGTAACAGAGACCTATTTTTGCAAAGACTGTAAAAATAAATAAAAATTCAAAAACGTGTTTTCTTTTAAGGCGTGTTCACTTTCATCACGTTAACCTGAGCGTGAAGTGTTGTGTTTTTTCTAACAGTGACTTATGACATCACAGTCACTGAACCAACCACTCATGAGTAAAGAGGTCAAATGTTATACTTTTATAAACGGGGGCCACGACTGCCATCTTGGTTTCAGTGGAGGGCCACACCACTGTTAGATGAACTGCCATATGTTACGGACCACAAGTCGCACCAGGCAAAAGATGTAGATACAGAAGGAAACAAAACATACACAAGTCACTCTGACGTATTAGTCGCACCAGTGCCCTCTAGCGGCTGTCAGTGTGAAAATAACAAATGTGGAAATATATATTTTAATATATAAGCTGCAGACCCAGACAAAGGATGAAACAAAGTGTGAGTCCAGAAAATACGGTAGACGTTTTTCCTGCCGAAACAGACGACAAACACGGATCAGTCAAACAGTTTTTTTATGAACGACATCACAGCTGAAAATACTGTTATCACAAACCACACATGCTGTGCTACATCTGGGAAAGGCTTGAAATACAAATGACAAAAATATCCTTCACAGACCAATAGTTTTTCATTTCCTTCCAACGACTTCAAAGTACAATAATAATAATGAATAAAAGATGCTGTAAAACAGAGACAAACTCAAAGCTAAAGCGTGTACAAAGTACTGGACCGGACGGGAAGCCCGGAAAATTCATCAGCCCAGGATCAGACTATTTAATTCAGTCAGAAACCCAGCGTGGACTGACCGCAGCACTGACCTGACCAGAGTGGAGGACAAGGGACCGTCCACCAATGTCACAGAGGAAACAGCGCTACCACGAAAATGTTCAGCAGTCAACGTGTCAAAAAAAATCACACATTCATCTCCGAGCTGTTTTCTGACCTGGACTGAGTCCAGCTGATGGCCGCGGCAGGTCGTCTGGCTCC